GCCGCTGATAGTACATGTTTATACGGTCATATGTAGTACTCCAGCTGACAAAACTCAAACCAAAATAGATTTAAAAAGGTAAAAATGAAGGATAAATATATATATATATATATATATATATATATATATATATATATATATATTTTTTTTATCTATTTTTTCATCATGTTGATTCAAAGTATCTTCACTTTCTTTAGTTTGGGTTATAGACTATGTTAAGATGTGTTTTAGACCTGCTTAAGACCTGGGTTAGTTCTGGTTTTAGACCTAGTTAAGACCTGGTTTAGACCTGGTTAAGGCCTGGTTTAGACCTGGTTTAGACCTGTTGTAGTTCTGGTTTAGACATGGTTAAGACCTGGTTTAGACTTTACACTCAATACTTAAGTTAGGCCTGATCTCATTTAGACTTACCGCATTTTTCAGATTATAAGGCACACTTAAAATCCTTAAATTTTCTCAAAACTCAGCAGTGCACCTTATGTATTAATTGTGATCTTCTACGTTTGCTCTGCGAATGTTTGAAAGCCGTTTAATTCACCGTTAGTGGTTCTTTTCACTCAGAATACGAAAAAGACATTTTCCTTCTTCCGTGCTTCTATTTGTGCATCTGATAATGCAGCAGGAATTTACCATTATCGGGGATAAATATGTGAGGTTACGCACTGTGTTTGACCACTATCCTGTTTCTTGCCTCCGACCAAAATATTTCCCAGCATGCAACGCGGGCTTTTAATAACAATGACGTCAGCGGAAACTCGCCTATAGTCCAGAATTCTTTTTGTTTTGAATGAAATATGGGATATTTAATGGTTTAGGCCCAGTTTCTATGCATATTTATTATGTGAGGCTCTTGGTTAAGTCCTGGTTTAGTTCTGGGTTAGACCTGTTTTTTCTTTCAAGAGTCTACCCTTGTCCAGAAAGTCGAAGAATTTAAAGTACCACCTACTTGTTCTGCCTTGTTATAAACCTACATTAGTCCTGGTTTAGTCCTGGTTTAGTTCCAGCTTAGTCTTGGTATAGCTTTGGTTTAGACCTCGTTTCGTCTTAATTTTGGACATTAGGATATTAGTCATTCTTCTGAAATTCAACGTTTGTCCATAGAGCAGAAGAAATCTAAACACATGTCATAATATCAGCTCCGATAAACATCACTTCTATTTTTTTTCACTGCAGCAGCGTTAAACGTCAGCTTCTCATTGACGCCGTTTCACTTCTTAATTTGTGCAAATAAAAACAACAAATTACAAGTGAAATCATTTGTGTGACAGATTGTTTTGGAGCGGCTCATTCTGCTCTCAGCTGTTTCATTAACATCTCCACACAACTGTTTCACTCGGAATGTGCGGCTTTAATCATAATTGTCTAACAAAAGAAAAAGGACACTATTGTTTACCACAACAGTGTCACACTTAACACGCACTTTTTCTTGCTGGTCATTTCATAGTAATATTGAAATGATTTGAAGTAGAAATAGAAGAATGTGTTCTCTTTATTTCACTCATCTACAAACAGTGTTGGGAAGGTGACTTTTAAAATGTATTCCCCTACAGATTACAGATTACATACACCCAAAATGTAGTTTGTAACCTAATCCATTAAATTACTTAAAGTGAGTAACGTAATCTGAATACTTTGGATTACTTGGTTTGCTGTAGAGAAGCAAAGACGAGGAAATTGTCACAGAAGACGTTTTGTTTGCTAACAGAAAATAAAAAGCCCAGACTTTACTTAACCGTGTTAAAAATATTATTGATAGAAGAGGAGGAGACATGTCCACACAGCAGGATTTAGTCCTGTTTAGTCCTGGTTTAGTCCTGGTTTAGTCCTGGTTTAGACCTGGTTTTAGACCTGGTTTTAGACCTGTTTTAGACTTGGTTTAGATCTAGTTTAGACCTGGTTTAGACCTGGTTTAGATCTAGTTTAGACCTGGTTTAGACCTGGTTTAGATCTAGTTTAGACCTGGTTTTAGTCCTGGTTTAGTCCTGGTTTAGACCTGGTTTAGATCTAGTTCAGACTTGGTTTAGTTCCCGGCAATGAGTGGAATTACCAAAACCAGGAAAATATCTCTGTGTAATCCATTTATTTCAACAAAGTAACTGTAATCCAATTACCACTCACTAATAATAATTTGTACTCTGATTACGTAACTCCGGTACATGTAATCTGTTACTCCCCAACACTGTCTACAAACAGTAACATGTTTTAAGGGAAATCATACCTTTATTTTATATATGTTTGGATTCCTCAAAGTAGCTGTAATTTTTAAGATATTTACTTATTTGTATGACTTGAAATTTCAGTGAATTGCTTTTGTAAGATATCTACTTTGGTGTAAAGAAAAGTTAACAATTAAAAAGGTTTTGTGTTCATGAAATGTTTTATTTTGTAGGATATATACTGTCGGTCAAAAGTTTTAGAACACCCTCATTTTTCCAGTTATTTATTGCAATTCAAGTCGCGCAAGTCCAATGAAGAGCTTGAAATGGTACAAAGGTAAAAACTGAACAGAGATGTGTGAAGAATCCCTCAGTCGTCCAGGTAGAAGCCATGGCGAGGAGAAAATTCAGTTTGTCCACTGGACAAAAGTTAGTTTGGTTGAAGACCTTTCGCAGCTCATCCAAGCTAAGCTCAGAACTGAAGAAGCAGCTTGGACGAGCTGCAAACGTCTTCAACCAAACTAACTTTTGTCCAGTCGACAAAGTAAATTTTCTCCTCACCATGAACAGTCAGAGGTTAAAAAAAGATAAAAGAACAAAACACAAGTCCAAGCTTGTCCAAGTCCAAACAACCTCAGGAGAAAAGAACAAGATGGTAAAACTTGAAAACCTGGAGTGTCCAGCAGCAGCAGCAGTGTCCAGATGTAAATCCCATGGAGCTGGTTTGGGATGAACTGGACAGAAGAGTGAAGCAACCTACAAGTGCCACACATTTATGGAAACTTCTGCAACAGACTTGAGAAGAACTTTCTGAATAATATTTGATTTCTGTTGTAAAAAGAACGAGCCACGAGTGTGTTCAGCTGTTCTATCTGACAAAGGTGGACACTTTCCTGAGTCAAAAGTTTAGAATATGTTTTGGTCAACAGTAAACTGTAAAGAGCAAATAACTGGAAAAAGTGTGGTGTTCTAAAACTTTTGACCGGTAGTGTATAAATAAAATATATTTTGGCTTTGTCATCTTTTGGATCCAAAAATGATCCAAGAAACATGGTTATTGTCTTTGCCACTGTTATTTAAAACATAAATGTATAGAGTTGTGAGACTGAAACCTTTTACAAAATAGGAGAAATGTTATTGGTAGAGAAAGTACAATCATCGTAGTAGTTGTAGTAATAGTTTTCATTTTTATAATAGTAGTAGTTAGGGCTGCAACGATATGGTTTTCCCACGATTCAACACATATCTCGATTCACAGATCACAATATCGATAACATTTTGTAATTTTTTCTGCTAATGAGTGTAACATTTCAATATTTCATTAACACTATGATGTTAATGAAACATACATATATGACATACAGTACATTACAGTACAACTACTGTACAGTTGTAGTTTATATTTGAAGTGTTTATTTGGTTCAGTGGTTTACAGCTCAGAATTTTGATTCAGTGAAAATAAAAACAGAGTTTCTCAGGCTGTTTTATATTTTATAATACAGCCAGTCGACTTTTAATATAGTGGTAGAGGAGCTGCACTATCAGACTTTTCCTTCTTTGATGATGATTTGATGATTTTTTTTTCCTCTTGAGTCCCCCCCAGCAGAGACAGTACGTTGCTCCTCCCACATTGCCCCCTACAGTCAATGACACACGGCGCTCTCCCGTCCTCTTTCTGGACACTCAAACTGTTATATTACATAAAAATGTCTCAACAGACCGTTTTCTAAGTAAAACTTATGAGAAAGTCTAAGAAATAGATTGTGTATATAAGCACGTTTGATTAAAGCTGATGTGAAGCCAAAAGTGATTTTAAAGTATGAATCTCTTTGTCGTTCCTGGGTCTATAAACGTAAAATAAAAAAGTGACTTAAAGATAAAACCCTCCTCTGGTAGAATATTTCAGCTGTAAGTCCTTATGGAGAAGGACTCAGCGATAACTGTTTTGCTTTTGGACCAAAATAAATGACGACACAGAGCAGATGGAGGGACTCATGCATATCGACACGTGTATCGAACAAACACTGTGTATCGAACAAACATGTGTATCGAACAAACATGTGTATATCGAACAAATACGTGTATCGTCTCGTGAGACCAGTATCGAACGTTTTGAGATTATATTGAATATTGTTGCATCCCTCGTAGTTGTATTAGTAGCTGTTGTAGTATTTGTTTTAGTGGTAGTAGTATGGTATTAGGTGGAACAGTAGTAACAGTAGTAGTTGTAGCAGTAGTCGCAGTAGTAGTCAGAACAGTAGTAGTCAGAGTAGTCGCAGTAGTAGTCAGAGTAGTAGTAGCAGTAGTCGCAGTAGTAGTCAGAGTAGTTGTAGCAGTAGTCGCAGTAGTCGCAGTAGTAGTAGCAGTAGTTGTAGCAGTAGTCGCAGTAGTAGTCGGAGTAGTTGTAGCAGTAGTCGCAGTAGTAGTAGTCAGAGTAGTTGTAGCAGTAGTCGCAGTAGTAGTCAGAGTAGTTGTAGCAGTAGTCGCAGTAGTCGCAGTAGTCGCAGTAGTAGTAGCAGTAGTTGTAGCAGTAGTCGCAGTAGTAGTCGGAGTAGTTGTAGCAGTAGTCGCAGTAGTAGTAGCAGTAGTTGTAGCAGTAGTCGCAGTAGTAGTAGCAGTAGTTGTAGCAGTAGTCGCAGTAGTAGTAGCAGTAGTAGTAGTAGTAGTCAGTAGTAGTCAGAGTAGTAGTAGTAGTCGTAGTAGTAGCTGCATAAGTAGTCGTAGTAGTAGTCAGAGTAGCTGTAGCAGTAGTCGTAGTAGTAGTCAAAGTAGTTGCATTAGTAGTCGTAGTAGTATTAATCCTGGAGACTAATATATTTGTGTGTGTGTGTGTGTTGTTTGCAGAGCACGACGAGTGTGTGAGTGGACTTCATAACTGTGATGAGAACGCCCTGTGCTTCAACATGGTGGGAGGACACAGCTGCTCCTGTAAACCTGGATACACCGGCAACGGCACGGTCTGCAAAGGTAACACACACACACACACACACACACACACACACACACATGTACAACACACACATCCTGTAAACCTGGATACACCAGCAACGGCACGGTCTGCAAAGGTAACACACACACATACACACAACACACACATCCTGTAAACCTGGAGATAGGACATCACATTCGTGTCCTGAAAAACGTTTGACTAGCTCTTGGAAATAAAGTACGTTTTCATAATAAGCAGAAGTGACCTGTCCAGGAGTAATTTGTGGACCAGTGCGTCAGTCTTTAGACCCTGCGTCTGCTTCAGTCGCGCCATCGCTGGAATGAATCTTCAAGAATCACCTTAGTTTGGCTTCGCTGCTTTTCCCCTTGTCTTCTTCTTTCAGCGACCTCAAAAACGGACTTTCTTTTGCGGCGAACTGCTCCTGGATTCTTGTCTGCCATTGCAACAAACTTTGTGCGAACTGCGAGGAAGATATAGGTCAAAAAAGCCGCTAAGAACTGTTGCGTTGGTGGAGTAAACAGCGTCTGTGCGTCTGTGGACTGCGTGACAGGCGTACGTAAACCACGTAATGGCAGCGCAAGAAACGTAGGGAGTTTGATTGACAGCCTATCAACAGATAACGAGGCAGTCTCGTTATCTATTGGCAAATGTTTAGCTGGCCCCACCGTGTCCAGAGTTGATGAATTTTTATTCTCTTTTTTTTGGTCATCATAATTACAAGGCTACTGCATCTCTATAATGCTATCATTGACAACTTTGAAACAAACAAAAAAAATCCTCCATACAACCTTTAAAGTTCACAAGAGTCAAAGTAGTGTAATATGAGAAAATAAAATCGACAAGACTTAGAGAACTTAAACCGAAAAATATGAACAGCGCTTCCACATATGAACCGCTGTAAATGAGCAGTAAGAGAATCCATCCATGCAGAGGAAACATGATTTATTGAAAAATGTCCCACGGTAAATGAGAAAGTGCTTGAGTGGGTGCTTAATTCATTAAACGCAGCCATTTACCATAAAGACGTAATTCTGTTGATAGCACATTTGAATATTGTGCAAACACTCTCCACGAAATCATCACTCTCCCTCCTCGTGTTTACTCATTCACATCGACGTCACTGTTTGTTTGACATTTACTAAGTGTCTACTACCCATGTATAACGAACATTACTGAATTAACCCTGCACACACACATTCATCATGGCAAATAATATTGTGAGAGCTTGTAATGAATCACTTCACCAAATTAGCCTGGATTGTGTCTGCAAATAAACACATATGCTAGCAGTGCTGGTTTAATTGCTCAGCTAATGCTCGTTAATCTTGAGGACTAACGTGGCTCTGCTCTGGTCTCTGTAGCCATGTGCGACGGACTGTGCCAGAACGGAGGCTCCTGCATCTCACCCAACAAGTGCACCTGTCAGCAGGGCTTCACCGGGGACAGGTGCGAGACAGGTAAGCACCAAAGTCTGTTTGTTTTGGGGGAGCGAGTGGGGCATTTCAAACTCTACACAACTAGACTTTTTGTCTCTTGAAGAACACGTTATGTATTTAGAGGGTTTCATTCTCTTTGAAACATGCTTTTGTCACCTTGGGTTAATATTATTCTTTGGAGTCAAATAATGTTAGTCAGGTTCAATTTCACTTCCCTCCAGCGACTCGATCAGTAATCAGATTACACTAGACCAGGAGCGTCAAACTTATTTTGTTCCGGGGGTCGTATCCAACCGACTTTGATCCCAAAGGGCCGGATCAGAAAACTCATGTCATATAAACCCCAAAAATAACAATAAGTTCAAATATTTTTGCAGAGAAACACAAATCTATTACAGAAATCTTTTTTTAATTGATGAACTCTTTGTTTTACAAAATATTATAATATTATGAACAACCTGAAACTTTAAGAAAAATACAATTTCAACACAATGTTTTAACATGAACTTGTATGTAAACAGGAATAAGTCAATTCTTCTTGGAAAATCCTGCACTTCAGGTCCACTTTTCTCATGTTGGACATTTTTCTGATGAGGGTGTCACGGTCAACAGTCAAAACGATCGTCCTTTAAGAGCGTTTGGAAAGAGACAAGTCTTCATTTGTGCTGCTCTGGTGGGAGGGGCCACGTACAGAGACGCTGGAGACACTGCTGTGCTAAGCACCACAGAAAATTACCAACATTTTAATAGAAAATATAATTAAAATATTTTTGTAGAAAATCAGCTGTGGGCCAGTTTAAAGGTCTTGAAGGGCCGGATCCATCCCCTGGGCCGTATGTTTGACACCTCTGGGCTAGACGGTTTGCAAGAACCCTGGAAATGTGAGTTTGGGCACCAGCCAATCAGAGAAGAGCCAAACATTCTGTGGCAACAATTCCCAAGATTGAGAATTTAAAGCCGGAACAAAGAGAATGTTTGGTGGATTTTATCAAGGGGAAATACGTCATTGTCCTTCTTTCCGACAGGATTTGTGAAAAGCTTAATATACCAGTTAGTTCCGTTAGCGGTGCATTACATACCTCACGACGAAATAGCAGCGATTGGTTAAATTAAAAAAGTACTACCGTCGAGTGAACAAATCCTAATGCTATGAGGTCAGATGGTTTCTACAAAGTGAAACCGACTGATGAATCAGGCCAAAATAATGTCTGCTTTTGGAGGATGTGACCCGATTTTAAGAAAAACCTGAATTGCGATTTTTCAGGCAGATCTAGTGATTTCCATTTCATTCATGATTTTTTTCAAGTCAAGTTTCAGTGCACATGAACATTTGTCCAGTTTACACAAACAATAAGAGCTGTGATTGGTCGTCTCTACCACCACCGCTCTGCACACATTTCCTGTACTCCACTTCCCTTTCTTTCGATATGCATTGAGTAATAATGTGTTTAATGCAGCTTTGTGCACATTTGTTTACGTTTTACAGCAACAAAACTTAAAACCACATGGCACATTTGCATAAACTAAGCACTGAAAAAAACTGCTCACTACCTGTGTCCGAATGCGGTTCAGCTTCTGTCGGACTAACGGACACGAATATGAGTGTTCTTTCTGTGACAGAGGGGTGTTCTGTTGATGGTAAGTCTGTTCTTTGTTTCCATCACGTTGGAGATGGTTCATGTTAAGTTTTACACAAACACCAGGTGTAAATCCTCACTTCCTTGCATTGTGGTGTAGCATAGACTTGGACGCAGACCCATAAATCAAAAATGACGTGACAAGGCGACAGCGGCAGTGTGTGTTGAGTCGACGTAGAACTAAACTTCGCCCCTTAAATTGGGCTTTAGGAGTACTGCAAAAAAAACTAAATCATGTTGTCTGAGATCACGATTTTCGGTCCAAAATGATAGATCGTTCAACCCTAAAAGACATACTCATGCTAATAGAGCCATGTGTTCTTTGTGAAGAAAGTTTGAGCGCAGAATGAGTCCAGTGATGGTTTATGCACGGAACTTTTACCTATGATGCAACTAAACAGACACTATGGCTACATTCAGACTGCAGGGCTTAAAGCTCAATTCCGATTTTTTGTGTGAAATCTGATGTTTTTGCGAGGTCATTCACATTTCCAATTAAATGCGACTTGTATGCGATCCCCAGTGTGAACGTTAAACGGCCCGAAAGTGTCCCGCATGTGCACTGGAGACACGATGACGTCAACCACAGCGAGCGTGCTCTGTGTTTACAGAAGTTGTCCAAACATGGACGCAGCATTGAGCACCTGGAGATTTTAAAGTTCCTCTCGTACCGGAGCCAGAACATGAACAACTTACTTGTTTTAAGGAGGAGATTGAGAAGGAGAAGGACCAGGTTTTTGGTCGTGGTGTTTTGTGGGACAGCGGCAGCGACGTCTGTTGAAAGGAACGTGTGGATGTGGAGACGGAGCCAAGAGTGGTGAGTGGTGATGTGCTTCACTTCAGTGACACAGAGTTCATTAACAGTTTTCGCCTACTTCAGCGCAGAATAGTGACGTTTGTGGCTTGTTGATAATGTGTAGGTCGAATGAATGCGTTTTGACCGTTCACACTGAAGTCGCATGTCAAAAGATCAGATATGTATCAGTTTCAGGAGCACATATCCAAGTGTCCTGGGTCACATTTGAAAAAATCAGATCTGTGTGGTTCAGACTGTCATTAAAAGATCAGGTACAGGTCACAAAGGGGACAAAAAATCAGATTTGGGTCACTTCAGGCTGCAGTCTGAACGCAGCCTAAGTGAACAGAGCATTTTTGAATACTCAGAGAAGACGACTTTGGATTAATGTATCAATTAAACAAGCGTAAATGAAACAAAATATAACTCAAAGTATGTTTTTTATGAAGGGCCAACCTTAAAACATAGTTAAAGGTAAAAGAAAAGTACATTTCGTAGTAGAAATGTGTTCTTTAAATGATTTCTGTTGGTTGATCATGATTAAAATAACTACACTTTTAAGCGTTAATAAAGCATGATCAAAGACTTACTTCGTAGTGACCATATAGTTTATTAATGACTTAACTGCTTAATTAGTAACTTAAGAGATTGTTCATTATGATTTTGGTCTTCGCTCATGCTTCAGTATGGTGTAATTATCATAAAGTGGTCCCATTGTGTTCTCTTTAAAGTGGATTGTAAAAGCACAGTCCCTGGAGTTAAACACAGTAATTACTTGACTGTGCTTGTGTGAAACGCTCTGCTCTGACTCAAATCTAAAGTGTGAACTCTCCCGTGTAATGAGGAGAGGTGTCGTGTGATGGGCCTGATGCACAATTTCAACTGAAATTATAAAGCACTTTGAGAATTCCCCATCACAGCCCGTAGTAATGCTGTAGTAATGTTACAGTTTTTAGTAGTAATAATAATAATGAATAGTAGGACCAGTTTGAGGCCTTTCCTGTTGCATTCAACTGGTTTTCCCTGGACTCTGCTGTGATGCTGTAGGACACAGAGGAGGGAGGGACACTTTTGGCTCTTCCGCAGGATCTGCTTTTTTTTTTTTTTCAAGGTTTATTTATTTGCAAAAATATTCTGTAACAGTAACAATCTTACACAACAAATCTTCATCATGCTTAAGTTTTTCTCTCTAGAAGCCCAGCCTCAACTTATAAACACGACAACATGAGCCACAGGTACAAGAAGAAAACACTAATAGACCTGATAAAAAATGAAATATATGATATAAATAAAATAAATAGTAATAATAATGAATGAATGAATAAAAAATAAAAATAATAAATAATACTACTACTACTACTGCTACTACTACTACTACTACTACTACTACTACTACTAATAATAATAATAATAATAATAATAATAATAATAATAATAGATTAATTAAACATTTATACAATTTTCCTTTGCTTCCATGGAAAGCATTGGAAATAAGCCAAAAATTGATTCCAGAATGTGAGAATTTTTTTTAACTGAGCCTTTGATTGAGGATCTGATTTTCTCCAGTTGAGTGTAGTACATAGCGTCAGTAACCCAGAGTCCACATGCAGGCGGCTGTGGTTCCTTCCAGTTCAGTCAAATCTTCCTACGAGCCAACAGTGTGCAGAAATCCACCAGCGCAGCCTGTCCCTCTGTCACGTGTAAACCAGTAGTCACAAGGGAGACAGTACTTTACCACATATTTTAGAGAGAGCATCAAATACACATTTCTAGAAATTATTCAATTTTGGACAAGTCCAAAACATGTGCAATAAAGAGGCAGGTTCTTGCTTGCATCGATCACAAGTAGAGTCAAGCCAAGCCCCCAGGTTCCAAAATGGTCGCCCGTTTAAGTCAAAGGGCCGAGCTCAATGTGTCATGATTCCAGATTCGCTTTTAGCCCGGCGAGGTACATGCACAGTAGTGTCTTTTCTCCAGTGGGCACACGCGAATGCACATGAACGCACGTACGGAGCGCGGGCTCGTGTATCACATGATCACTTTGACCAATCACAGCGAGAGGAGTTAGAGCGGAGCAGAGCGGCGCTGGAGTGAATGATTATAAAATGTTTTTTTAAGACAACTGAAGGGTTTTGAGCTGAGAAAAAGTTTATGATCTAAAAATAGGTAAAAATCACCAACAAATCCGATATTTTTGAAAGTCGTAGGTGCCTGTCAGATGAACACGAGCAGTTTGTGATTACATTGTCTCTATGAGAAAAATCATGTCTCGGCCCATGGGATTTTTTCCGCTGAAGCTCCAGTGAGTCACTACGTCAACTGGAGGCAGATACAAACACCAACACTCTCCAGTTATTTTAATAGATCCATGGGTCAAGCCCATTTTTGAATCTTACTTAGTTTGGTTTTTGACCCGTGGAGGAGATGCACCACTTTAAATTGAATCCCCACATGTCTAAATCAAATTGACGAAGGAAAAATTCTCTGAAGAATGTTTTCCCAGGTCTTGTCTGAAATCTGTTTACTCACATCCTCCTCCCATTTACACTTAAGTGACTCCAACGTTGCCCTCAGAACTTTGACTGAGA